CGGGGCTCTGACTCTGACCCCGCCCCAGGGCTTTGACCCCGCCTCCGGCTCAGCCTCCCCAGGTGCGCTCTGCAGGTTCCTTCCCAGCAGGAATCTCGGGCCAGGCTCTCCAGCCAGCTCCTCACTAGACTTGAAGCTCCACGTGGGTAGCAGGGGTCCCCATGTTCCAACACCACGCACAGCGGTACACAAAGCGCTCCAATACTGTGCACCAGACAATGCTAGTGAACATGAGAAGAGGGTGTGATGTATCGAAGTTGCTAACACCACCCAGGTGTGTGGTGGCTATTTGTCCCCATGCAACCCTACTTGGGGCTCATGGGGACACCTTCGCACTTATGGCATGTTTTCATAGCAGCCCGGAGAGATGGGTTTGCCATGTGGTTGCTATTTCATGAGGAATCTGGGAAGATCAAAGGCTGCATCATCCTGGGTTCAGACGCAGTGTCCTGGGTGACCTCTCAAAGGAGTCTAAAGCTCACTGGACAGTGAGAGCAAGCTGACAGGAACAGCAGAGGCCTGGCGTAGGCTGGTGATTTCCAATACCAGCTGGCATCTTTGTTGGGAGAGCTCCCTCCTCAGAACAAGGATGTCTTGGATTTGCATTCATTTGTTGTGGATTGCTTCTCTTTCTGAATACCTGTAGCCAAGGCCCAAGATGGGCTGGGATGGCTCTCCCAGCCCACCACTGCCTGACTCCACACCTATCACCTTCTCCAGGCTGGGGCCACCAGGAGAAAGGGCTCAAACCTGGTCAGGAAGGACTGCCTTGACCCTGGGCCAGTGGGTCTGCCATCCTTCTCCTGTCCCAGCATCTATGATCAGTACCCCTGCCCCACAGGCTGTGATGACAATTCTGTGACATGACCTGCCCCGATGAGCTTGGGGAGCACCGGCCACTGCTAACAGCATTAACTCGGAGACTCTGGACACTCTTGCCACAAATGTACAAATACAAGGAAAAAATGGTAACATTTTTGAGGCTCCCCAAACACCCTGGGTAAGTCCATCTCATCTGGAAGAAAACCTGACTTTAGTTCTTTTCAGTCTCAGTCACTGAACGGAACTCAGTGCTGAGCAGTGTGGTCACCATGGGTCACAGCCCGGCAGCGGGGGCCAACCTGCTTTAGCAGATGAGTGACAGCGGGCAGAAGCTGGCGTGTGTGCTGTGAGTACATGAGGACTCTTCTGCGAAGCTTTTATCTCTGTCCCATATAAACAAACATGTGGGGCTGGGTGACCACCTGAACGACTTCAGGCTTTGACAGTCGGGAGAACACACCGTGGGAGTTCCAGAGCCAGCTCACCAAAACGGAGGAAGTTGGGACCTGCCCCAGGTGACAGTGTCCCCTCTGCCATGTCTCTCAAGGTGCTTTATTATCATTGGGGTGGAACGGTTCAAAATTCTGAGGACAGAAAGGGCTGGAATCTTTTCTTCAGACTTCCTATGCTGGAGCCTGGCCTGCTGGCACCTGCCAAGCCCACCTCCTCGACTGCACCCAGCCCACAGACTCCGAGAACACTGAGTGCAAAGCCACTGGCCTCAGGGGAGGAGGAGCCTTCGGCCCATGATAGCTCCAGCCTGGGGAAAGGGTGCCCACAGCTCCTGAGCAGCAGGCAAGGATAATGCACCCAGGGTTCAGTGTCCTTCCCCCCAAGCAAGGCCCCAAAGCACTGCTGAGGCTGCTCAAAGCCTTGCTCTGTGAGGGTGCTTCTGGGTGCTGCCCAGTCGGTCCCGTCTTCCTGGCCAGAAAGTCCCAAGCATGGGACTGAACTGGAATAAGACATTCATGATGACCCTGAGGCCACCTCCCTATGTCATGTGTCTCACTATGGCCAGTGACACCCAAGATGGGGGTGGACAGAGGGAGGGATGCCCGAAAGCAGGCCCAGCCTCCCTCATCCTACCCTTCCTGTCCTACCTCTGGTGTTTCCTAGGAGGGTGTGATGGCTGGAGCTGAAATGCCATCTCAACACAGCACGGAGGAGGCCACCAGGGCCCATGTATCAGTGGATCATGGAGAAATGACTGAATTAACCACCCTTGGAACCGCCCACCTCCAGCTGGCTGTCTCAAATCATTAAACATCCTTTTGGTTGAAGCCACTATTGGGTGGGTTCTCTGGGCAGCTGAGAGGGTCCCCACTGTCCTGCCAGGCTGCCCTGTCTCCTTCCTCAAGTTCTCTATGGGGTCTTTGATCCATGCCAGCCACTGCCCTCTCCATCTGGTCACATCTTCAGGTGACAGCCCCTTTTCCTCATCCAGGCCTGTGCTGACCCCACTAGACAGACCTCTCCAGAGAGGCAGTCTTTGCTGGAATCCCCTTTGTGACATGAGTTAGGCTGCCTGCATCCGTGCTGGGGACAATGTGCCAGATGGCTGCAGGCCAGGTGAGCAGTACAGTACCACTCCAGTGAGCCAGGGCCTCACCTCCAATTCAAGAGGCTCATGCTAACAGCTGCGGACAAGGGTGAGGCGGTCAGAGCAGCTGGCAATCCAGGTTTGAGATCCATTGGCTCAGGCCTGGCAGGGCCAGCTGGCCTCATCCCAGATATATTTTAAGGAGACGTGCGGATGCGCGCAGGTCAAGTGCACATGGCGGCTAAACACAGGGAGATCCTAGGGCCGTGGCCCAGCCTCCACCGCCAGGGTCAGGGTTGACCTACAGTGTGGCTAAGAGTCTGGGTTGGGCATCCGCCCACCTTCTCTTCAGAGCTACAGCCTGCACCTGGTCTCTGACATGGGGACTTGGGACTCGGAGGAACCCTCTGCACTCCACCCATGTTCTCCTATCTCCACTCTGCCCATCGGGGCTCAGCACGCACACTCAACCCTGCCTCCTCCTCGTTGCCTCCTCTTCTCCACATGCCGCCCTTCTCTCCTTCCCCTCAGCCGTTCTTCCTCTGCGGGCCCCCGGGCCTTGGAGCCAGGTGATGACTTTATTCAGCGGGGTCGCTGGAGC